ACCTTTACCAGCTCCTTTACATTTTGTAGAAACTATGCCTTTGATTGATGAAGATTCTTTAGTACCTACTGTGCATAATAATACTACTGCTGCATCAAATAATGCATCATCATCATCATCATCTGCATTACCTAGTACCAGAATACCTAATACTACAGTGACACCGGATTTAGGCCTTAATACTGTACCTATTGCTAGATCTAAACGTACTACTAAGGCTCCTAGTTATCTATCTGAGTATCACTGTTCTCTTGTTCCTTCTATATCCACTTTACCACCTACAAATTCTTTTCCAAACACTATACCATCTTGTTCTTCTATATCTACTATAACACCTATATCTATTACATCATCTTCATCACCTAAAAAGACTACACCATATCCTATCTCCTCAGTCATTTCATATGACAAATATACACCAACTTTTCAATTCTATATCTTAGCCTATAATACAGAAACAGAACCAAAGACTTTTTCACAGGCCATGAAATCAGAGAAATGGACTAAGGCTGCAGATGAAGAGCTTCATGCTCTGGAACTTAACAAGACTTGGATTGTTGAATCTTTACCTCCGGGGAAGAATGTGGTAGGATGTAAGTGGGTCTTTACAATAAAGTATAACCCCGATGGTACAGTGGAACGTTATAAGGCAAGGCTGGTGGCTCAAGGGTTTACACAACAGGAAGGAATTGACTTTCTAGATACTTTTTCCCCTGTTGCAAAACTCACCAGTGTGAAACTCATGCTTGGTCTTGCTGCAGCTAAAGGGTGGACTCTGACACAAATGGATGTTTCAAATGCTTTTCTACATGGAGAGCTAGATGAAGAAATTTTTATGAGTCTTCCTCAGGGTTATACTCCTCCTTCGAATACAGAGTTACCACCTAATCCTGTTTGCAGGTTATTAAAATCTCTCTATGGCTTGAAGCAGGCTTCTCGCCAATGGTATAAGAGGTTTTCTTCAGTTCTTTTGGGTGCTAACTTCATTCAGTCTCCTGCTGACAACACTTTGTTTGTTAAAGTGAGTTCTGGTTCACTTATTGCTGTGCTTGTGTACGTTGATGACATCATGATTGCCAGTAATGATGATATAGCAGTGGAGACTTTGAAGACTTTATTGAGATCTGAGTTTAAAATCAAGGATCTTGGACCAGCTAGGTTCTTTCTTGGACTGGAAATTTCAAGATCATCTAAAGGGATCTCAGTTTGTCAAAGGAAGTATGCTCAGAATTTATTGGAAGATGCTGGTTTACTTGGATGCAAGCCTAGTTCTATTCCTATGGATCCAACACTACATTTGGTAAAAGATATGGGAACTCCTTTACCAAATCCGACTGCTTACAGAGAACTTATAGGACGCTTGCTTTATCTGACAATCACAAGACCAGATATTACCTATGCAGTTCATCAGTTGAGTCAGTTTATTTCAGCACCTTCTGATATACATTTACAGGCTGCACACAAGGTCTTAAGATACATTAAAGCTAATCCAGGTCAAGGCTTGATGTATTCTGTAGATGCTGAAATATGTTTGAATGGATTTTCTGATGCTGATTGGGCTGCGTGTAAGGATACTAGAAGATCAATTACAGGGTTCTGCATCTACTTGGGAACTTCTCTCATTTCCTGGAAATCAAAGAAGCAGGCTGTAGCAAGTCGAAGCAGTACAGAATCTGAATATAGGAGTATGGCTCAAGCTACATGTGAGATCATTTGGCTTCAACAACTCCTTAAGGACTTACATGTGAAGGTTACTTGTCCTGCAAAATTGTTCTGCGACAACAAATCTGCTCTGCATATTTCCATGAATCCTGTTTTCCATGAAAGAACAAAGCACATAGAGATTGATTGTCATACTGTCCGTGATCAAATCAAAGCAGGTAATCTCAAAGCTTTACATGTTCCCACAGCAAACCAACATGCTGATATACTTACTAAAGCGCTTCATCCGGGTCCTTTTCATCATCTACTACAACAAATGTCTTTGTCAAGTCTCTTTCTTCCCAACCAGACATCCTGAAGATAGAGACTTGAGGGGGGCGTATTAAGGGTATAAGGATCGGTTAGCTTCGGTTATGTGTGGTTTACTGAGCTGAGATTAATACTCGGTTTAGTTCTATGTATATAAGCTTGATGACATTCATTTTAGAGGTTAAGTTGGTTGTAACAACATTTTTAAGCTGAATAAGAAAGTTTGTTATCCTTCTTCTTCTCTGTTCTCCGATCTTGAACTTCCGGTGTACCGGAGTTTATTAAGTTGTGTATTAATTGTCCCGTCCATGCCGAAGATTTGATCAAATCTAGCTATGAGAATTGAGAAGTCAAATCTCACTCTCGTGACCTGCTTATTATGAATATGCATGAGTAATCGTCAATAATTCGCAAGACAAGGTGGGATAGACTCTTAAATTGTGTAATAAATAAAGTTTTGGTAGAATATAATTGTTGTTTTTTTTTTCTTCTTTTATGAAAAATATGTATTTATATATATAGTTGTCTTAAAAATATATAAAATTTATTTAAATGTACATATATCTAACAAAAAAAACTGACTACTATATTATTACTACATCATCTCTAATGTTCGGGTATGGTTTATCCTTATCTCTAATGTTCGGGCTAGATTTTAGACTATTGGGTCCAAACTCGTGATTTTTTGGCATCCATGTGTTCCTTCGAAAATATGTTTAGCCGTTTCGCCCACTTAGAGATAAACAAAACCCCGGTTGAAGCATTACAATGGCCAATACGAGGCTCGGCAAAGGTGAGGTTCAAGGGAACTTCTTATCGGATGTCAAGCAAGTGCAATTTTGTTGGGTTTTATCTAGTGATCTTTCGACATGGAGTTGGATGTTGTTATTGATCTGGATTCTCGAGCAGAGGTAATTCTTCTATCATTTCTTCACAGTCAGACTTGCATTGCTTACCAAGTGAATGGTCATAAACTATTCTGGATGATATAAGGATGTTGCGCAAATAATTATTCGACGTTCAAGTTATTTGAGATCATGCGATGGCAAAAGTTAGGATATGAAAAATAATATTTGGAGTTTAAGTAAATGGGTTGGTCGTCGATTTCAAACATCTTTAAAAATTTATCAAACTTTGAGTAGACCATATATATACTAATATACATGCACGATATATAGGATAAGTAATTTATTTATCTAAAGAAAATCAGAGCTAAGAAAGAAAAAAAAACGTCAAAATCATTTAATTAATACCAAATGCACTTGATTAGCATTATCAAATGCAAATTGCGCCGCTAATTCACACGGTTCCACGTGATCAAAGACACTAGAGTGGGTCTGCTTGCTTCGGCGCTCTAATGAGGGTACAAGGTATGACTGAATAAGTAAATCCTTAGTGATTTTATATTTTAAATTCGTAGAATATATGTGTATGACCAATTACGTGCTAGTATAAAATATTTAACTAGTAGGTATAATTAATAGTAGCTAGTTTAAGATAAACCACTAACGGTTTTATGTACTCTAATTATTCTCATGTTTACATGTGTGTGTGAATACATATCTATAGAATATAGTTTTGATTTGCAAAAAGAGCAAAATAACCCTCTTATATATCCCTTTTCGTTACATATTATATTTCTTCACAATTTTGAAACTATTAACGTGAAAGCTAAGTTTTCTACTTCGATTGGAATATGCTAGCTAAAAACAATCTAAATACAGAAAGAAATACATTATATTTATGTATTAGTTTGGGTAAGATGGAAGACGATCACATCTCTTCGTCGGCTAATAATAATGACTCGTGACCTAGACCTAGACTAGGGATTGCTGTCCCGCAAAAATTCCTAAGAACACCACATATATTTCTTATAGTTCAAACTCAAAAAGTGTTTAAGTTTCTACTATTGCCCTTTAAATACATTTATAATTGTCTTTTAAGCTGAAAAAGTATGAATAAAACTAAAATGATTGAGCAAACTTCTACATTGAAAATATTAAATGATATTTTTTGTGTTTCAAAAAAATTAGTTATATTACAAGACTTACCATAAAACGGATGTAATAATACTTAAAATTTTAAATCATGCTTGATTGAATTTATCACCTAGTTCATATACATTCAATATTAATGCCACGTAGTCCTGATTAGATGAATAAAAAACAAATTTAATTACCGCACGTAGGCTTCGTTGAAAACGTTATGTCATTGAAGTAATCGCCGTGATTAAGCAATGTCATTGAAAATTTACGGTAAACCTCACGATGAGACGTCCGTGACGATAAAATGTCAAAGCAATGTGACATTAGACTATCCTTTTCATTTTTTGTTTCTTTTTCTTTTCTCAAACTTTTTTCTTTTTCTTTTTATTTTTGTTTTCTCAGACTTCCCTTTAATGGTTTTTCATATACTTTCATCACAAAACAATAGACCGAATTAAAAGATAAACGGTGGGGAGGGTTTTGCGGGGGAGGGACGAGTGGAGAAAAACTCCCTGTTCTAACACGTGGCACTCTAGTCACCATTGATAAAAATTAACACTATTAGCTTAAAATGCGAGCTATTTTTCTAGTTTAGTTTAAAAATTGGCAAAAAAATTATTTTAATTAACACATTGGGATTTTTTTATGTTTACTAAAACGAAGACGAGTCACTAATTTTAAATTTGATACGTTAATTTGGTAAAATACATATTTTATACGCCTTCATGCATACTGTTTTGAATCCTAAAACCATCGATTAGATATATAATTTGCATCTTCGGACAAAAAAATATGACTTTCTATATATAGTAAAGAAAAAACGCGTCATTTTATTTTCACCATCTTACATGTATTTATATTGTAATAAGGGACTATATATGAAAATACCAATGAAAAATGAAGAGAATAAGCATATATACATATTAATGGAATGGAATGATTACTCTTAACAAAATTACTTAAAATAATGTCACGTATCTATTTATCCATTTTTTTTTTTTTTTTTAATCAAATATAGTGAGTGATATTTATGTGATGGGGATTCACTCAAACTGGAAGATAACTGTAGTGAAGTGCCCAAAGCAAAAGATCTTCATGGGACTCTCTATGTCTTAAAAACCTTTTTCTCTTTCCCTCTCTCTCTCTTAAATCCACAGAGTAAATCCAGCAAACTTCCACTTTCAGAGATCAAAATTGTGTTACTTAAATGATGAAGATAGACTAATTCCTTGGCGGCGTTTGCAGTTTCTTAAGCTTCCGCATCATCTACTCTCAATTTCTTATTATAGAAAAGAAAAGGGAATCAAATCAAGATTTTCCCTTTTCTTTGATATCTCTTTGTAGTGTGTTGTGTGTGTGATGTTGATTATCACTGGGGAAAGAAATGGCAGGGTTCTTCTATCTAGGGGGGAGAGACAACAACAACAAGCAAGATCATCATCAAGTAGACAAGGATCATCATCATCAAGACAATAGCAATTATCTTTATCTTTACAAAGATGAGATCTATAACAACAACAAGGGTTTCGAGATTTGGCCTCCACAATACTTCCAACAACAAGAACATCAACAACAACAACACCAACAGCGACAACATGCCTCAGCTCCTGCAAACTTCTACTCATTTGGAATGGTTCCAAGCGGAAGCAGCAGCAACAACAACAATAACCGGAGCAGGAGTTTATACTTCAACGTAGTCTCCGATCATGAGCCGGGAGGGTTCACGGTGACGAGACAAGGAGGTATGAATTGTCAAGATTGTGGGAATCAAGCTAAGAAAGATTGTCCTCATATGAGATGTAGAACTTGTTGTAAAAGCCGAGGCTTTCATTGTCAAACTCACGTTAAGAGCACTTGGGTTCCTGCTGCTAAACGCCGTGAGCGTCTAGCCCAACTCGCTTCCTTGCAGCACCACTCAGCCTCTAGCCGTGAAACGCAAAACGCAAAACGCCTTCGTGAAGCTAGTGGTGGTAATAATGATGATGATAAAGACCATAGTGGTGGTGCTGGATCGGCTCTTGCTAATACACGAGTGGTGAATGCTAATTCTAATTCAGGTAAAATTCGATCATGGTGTGTGTTTTTAGAATTGATGATATTGAATTAGCTTTCAAGATTGATTGAATTTTCATGAAAAAGTGTCAAATTTTTAATTATGAATGTTTGTGGAGAAGTACAACATCATTTGCGTGTGAATGAGGATGTCCGCCGGATATTGCTGCTTTATTTATACGAGTTACTGTTCCTTAGTAAACCTGACGACATAAAAGGGTTTAAACCAAGATCGATTTCATGTAGAAACAATGCAATAAAGATTCGGTTTTTATTAGATATGTAATGGGAACTAACGCTTTATTATCGAGAAAATGTTGCTAAAAGAGGCTAAAATCTTATGTTTATATTTTGGTGATCTTATAATCATTAATAAAATTTAGGGTTGGAGGTGAGTCAACAATTACCACAGGAGGTTAACTCACCGGCGGTATTCCGGTGCGTTAAAGTGAGCTCAATAGAAGACGATGAAGATGATCAAGAATATGCTTACCAAACGGCTGTGAACATTGGAGGACATGTCTTCAAAGGCATTCTCTATGACCAAGGACCAGATCAAGATCATAATCATCACCTTAACCTCCTTGCCTCCACTGCAACCACCACCAATGTGGAGGAGACTGCCACGAAGACGGTCACCGGTAACAATAATAATGGATTAATGCTTGATCCTTCTTCGCTCTACCCGGCTCAACTCAACTCCTTCATCGCCGGTACGCCATTCTTCACACCTCCGAGGTCTTGAGATTCAGATATCAGTTATTGATTATGTTAATCTTTAAACGTTATAATAATGAGAGGCTTTCATTTTGTTGTTGTTTTTGTATTCGTCTTTGTGTTTTTGACATTTCGTGCAATTTGATAAAACACCCTTAGCTAGGTTGTTACTTAGTGGTGATAAACATGCATCTTGTACGTACGTACGTTTTTAAAAAAGATCAATGAGGGTTAAAGTAATTAATGTTCATGTTTTAAAGATTGATATTTTGCTTTATTGTTTGATACTTATTATTGCACTTTCTCAGTTTCCTTGTGTTTTTTCGATCTATAGTTCTGCAAACTTTATTTTTTAAATTATGTTCATTAGGATCGATCTCATGTGTTGCAATTTAAATGCGGTTTAGTTGGAATCTTATGATATCAATTAATATTTTACCCTCTTTTTATTGATCTACGACATATATAGTACTTTATCAAGGTCAAATCAAAAATACTTTATTTTAAAAAAGAAAAAATAACAAAAATATTTTTGGTTTGATATTGAATTAGCTTTCTGGTTGGTGTTGAGCTCCAAGCTGCCTTTTTCCCCGTTTATCCGTTTGCTTGCCGGATTTAAACATGACTTAATACTAGGTTTCGTGTTCCACTGATCAAAGATTTGAAAAAAAAAAACATATTATAAGAGAACTTCAAGCAACTTTTATATCATCCAATGTTTAGTTGCTTGAATTTTTTTTATAATATGTTTACCCAAATTTAATTAAATGAAAGATGTAAAATTAGTTCTCATTTAATTTGAAATATAAAATCAACATCTCTGAAATGATGGAAATGGTTTAGTTAAAAAAGTGGTCCTGGGCGGCTCCAAATGATATTTATGCGTACTTTAATTTAGCTTGTTTATATCTTTCTCTGGTTTGAGTCCCTAGTTAAATGAGCTAAAATTCTACATAGATATTTTCAAATAGGACCCTTTAGTCTTTTTTTTTTTTTTTTTTTTAGGACCCTTTAGTCTTATGATTTAATACTTAGATAATATCGTGTCATTCCATCTAGATTCAACCCCTGCCTACAATATTAGGAGGTTAAGGTTAGTTACGTGGAGAACGTCAAAGTGTGAGTAAATACGTAACATGTGAAATGTTGGCGTAGATGAATGTAAACGGATGGTAATGTAGGGCATTTATATCAAACTACTTCCCTGCAGAACTATCATATTTTTAGCTATTTGATTATTACTTGCATGGATGTGACTATCATTCGTCTGTATCTAATCCCATTCAATATTTGTTTCTTACATTATAATACCAGTCGATGCAGTCTATATACAAATAACTACTGATAGAGACGACTTACTATGAACCTAAAATTGATTTTGTTTTTATGTTTGAACTGATACTATTAACAGTAATAATGATTAGCTAGTACTGTTATAGATTGCTTGATTTAGGACAAGTATACATGACAGAGGAGATAGATGAAAGTTTCTCAAAAACTGTAGAGTGTCTGACTCACGACATGTGATCTCTTCTTTCAGTCTCTCTCGATCAACATTATTAAAAAAATAAATGTAGTTGATCCAAAAATCATGATCATATTCATTGATCTCCTCTGATATTTTTCTTAATCTGGCTAACTTCTTGTTCCGCAAAAGCCCTACAGCCTCATAGGATTAAACCTAAACAGTATGTGGTTTTGTTTTTGGAAATAATTTCTCTCTAGCCATAATTTATTGTAACTAATGTTAATTATTTTTTGTATTCTTTTCTTTATTACTATTACGTATTGATGACGTGCATATGGTTCCAATGGTAAGTACTTAGACATCCTCACAGGTCAAATGTTTGGCATTGTCATTAATTGCCATTAAAATACGGTAGGTTAAGTTTGAAATAATAGTTTTCCTGCAAGTTTGAAAGGATAGTAAACGAGTAAATTGTTAATTAATTATGTTGGAGAAAAGGAAAATAATTTGTTAAGAAGCATGAAGAGGCCAAGACTCGAGACATCATTGTAAAATTGTAAAGTCTATGGTCAAAGTGTGAGACTATTCCGAACAAAGATTTTGAAATGCATCCCCAACATCCGTTATACTTAAACCTAACTCGATTATGATTGATATGACAGTTTATTTTCTTTACCTCAATTCCCTTTACAAAAATCATTAAATCAACTTCAGTTTTTTCCCCCCCAGTTATTACATTTTTGGCTCCACATAAATATTTCTCTATCCATTTGAGATGATTTCATTCAAGCGATCCAAGGCGAGTTATTAATATATGATTAGTATATAATTCCAAATATATATAACGTGTTACTACTTATTATAATTACGACACCAAAAACTGTACTAATCAAATATTTTATTTTTAAAACAGTGTATAGCTAAAGGTCTAAAACTATATCCAACAAACAGAAAATCCAATTTCGGCGGCCATAAACCCTATTTACAGTTACAGCTTTAACCGTAAGGAGAAAAGATGAGAGATTGGTCCCCCTTTGTACATTGAAGCAACTGAGCGAAACTAGTGGTTAGGGTTTCTCATGGATTTAGTTAAGTTCTTTATAATGAATTACTTCTTTGTCGTTGTCCTAATCGCTAATCCAATTCTAACCTCGGTATTTTGTTTCCTTTTTTGTCAACAACGAGTGGTGTCTTCTTTACTCTTTATCAACACTAGATAGTGGTCCAAAGTCCAAACAATATGTATGTATTCATTTAATACATATATACATGCACCATACATCAATGCATGCTCTACATGTGTTTATGTATGCAGTATAATATATGAACCATGTCATATATGTTTTTGCAAACGGCCCATTAAAGAAATTGGGTTTTAATGATACAGGATATGGGCCGTAGCCCAGTTTTTAGAGCCCAATTCGGTCCGGGTATTTAGTAACGGGTCGGCTCTTTAAGATCATTTTCCTTTTTTCACCTCCGCTTCAAAGTACGACAAGACTTAGGGTTAAGTCAAAAACAAAATCCGAAACAGAGTTTAGATCAGAGCTCAGGAGAAGTAACTACGAGAAGACGAAGAAGAATATTGATTTGGAGAGAGAGTTATTTTGAGTAACGATGGAAGAGAGTCATGAACTCGATATGGAGAAAACTGATAGACGTATTTGGTTGATGAAGTGTCCTGTAGTTGTAGCCAAGACATGGGAGAAGCTAGCTCCTTCGTCTTCTTCTTATTCTTCCTCTGATTCTCTTCCCAACTTGGCAAAGGTTGTTCTCGACGTTGATCCTTTACGGCCCGATTATTCGCCTGAGGTAATTTTGGTTCTCAAGTTATTGATTTTGAGTTTGAGTTCAAACCCGGTTTCGAAACCCTAGATTGATTATGAAATTGAGTGTTGAAATTACATTACTTGTGTAGGAACCTTGACAAAGTTTGAATCTTTTCATTACCCATGTGGTTGATTTACAAATCTAGCTTAGGGGACGATTCTTCTGTTGAGTTCTCTATTTGTTGTTCTTGCGACTTATTTCCTTGTACTGGTATTAATCACAGTTTACTATGCAAATGGTTGCTGCTGAGTATGGGAACATGCCAAAGTGCTACGCTTTGAACATGTTCAAAGACTTTGTTCCGATGGAGGCCTTCTCCGAAACCAATCTAGGTTTGGATTTGACTTTTGTCTGATTGATAACATGAGATATGTTTCTTCGTTTGCTTTTCATCTCACACTTGGCAAGCTACTCCAGTAAATACAGCTGTTGAAGGAAATGTTGATCACAAATTCGATATGAAGCCACATGGCGAGAACATTGAAGAATATGCTAGGCTCTGTCGTGAGAGAACGAGCAAAGCCATGGTTAAAAATCGACAGATTCAGGTATGTTTGTTTGCACATTCAGGTGTTTGTTTTCCTTTGATTCTTGTATGCTGGCTCTTACTTGTCTAAGGACCTTGAATTGCATGTAAGGTTATTGATAATGACCGCGGAGTACATATGAGGCCCATGCCTGGAATGCTTGGTTTAGTTTCCTCCAATTCAAAGGTAAGATGTTATTCTCTTCTCAATAATCATTGAAATGGTATAGAGTTAATGAAGCAACAACAATCCAGCTTCAATGCTCATTCTTTACTCAGACTAAATATAATTTAGGATGGAAACTTCGACTAATGATCTGAAAACTTTAACCTTCTGGCTTTATCTTTCCTTTACCTGATCAGCCTTACTAATGTAGAAGTTTGTGTCTGAATGAGCAGGAAAAGAGGAAACCTCCCCCAGTCAAGCAAACCGAGGTGAAGAGGACGAGGAGAGATCGTGGTGAGCTTGAAGCTATAATGTTCAAGCTATTCGAAGGCCAACCTAACTGGACATTGAAGCAGCTTGTACAAGAGACGGACCAGCCAGCTCAGTTCCTGAAAGAAATACTAAACGAGCTCTGCGTGTACAATAAGAGAGGATCAAACCAAGGGACATATGAGCTTAAACCTGAATACAAGAAATCTGCTGAAGATGATGCAGGTGGGCAGTAAAATCAATCCCTGTGTAATGCACTACCATATACTTGTGCCATAGTCATAACATTATTATATAAACGCTGAGTCCATTGATCGGAAAAAAAAAGATTTTAGCAGGGAAGAGAAAAGAGGGTTTTTAAGTGGTAATCTTTATTATATAAAAGTGAGTTTTTGTTTTATGACATATAACAAAATTACAAAATCATGTGGAGGTTTGGTTGGATATAAACATATAACGAACACAAAGTCTAGTCCAAAGAGACTGAGACGTCAAATTTGTCTTCCACTGCTGGAACATTAGCGTGATTGAACATTTGAAAACGACCCTGATTTTCTCCTATAAACTGCGTCCGGATTATTCTCTCTCTGAAGATTCCAAGCTTTTGCCATTTGAGCCGTAGATATTGGGATGATGTATATTAATGGAAGAGACAACAATATAAATGGTAAGGTAGTTCCCACCTTTTGTTTGTGGCAGACATACTAATCTTGTTTACATTTTGACTTCTCCTTCTGTTACTCATTTCAAGTTTTCGATCACGTAAGTTTTGAATGAATCGGATGAGGCGATGAGCAACATCTCATTTTGTTTGAATAGAGGATTTAAGATTCGGATACAAATTCATCGAATATGTAATATACTTTTCTGTAGCTACTATAAGTAAATAAATAAATAAAAACTACTATAAGTACTATTAGTAGAGAAACTCAATAAGTCCGTCTTAATCTATGGGAGGACCCTCGACAAAACAAAAAAATATTCAAGTTTTTTACTAAATTTTCTTTATAAAACTGGACAGTTTTATCTTATAAAAAAAATTTGAAATTAATTTTGGATCCATAGCATATGCCTATATTATCTATCCCTACCGTCGGACCTAAACTCATGTGTGGCATGGTGGTTACGGTTTTAGGACTAAGGGCATGAACTCGCTATAACCATAGATTAGATTTTCTACCCATTTTCGGAATTCTACAGTAGTTTTAGCAAAATCTAGATAATCGATTTATCTACAAATATTACGAGAAAAATTCGAAAATAATTTGTTAAAAAAATTGGTTTTAATATATACAATATCACTAGCTACTCTTACAAAAATAATTACAACTTAAATAAATTTTTTGTTAAAGATCGGATCTATATTATACGCTTATATCGTATCATAATTAAGCCTTATATTTATGGGAAGAAAACAGTGAAAAAAGCATGCAAGATTAAGGAATTATCATTGGTAACTTTAACTGTTAGCAAAATCTTTTTCTTTCCTTTTTTCCGATGGAGCCTGTGATTGCAAATGTTGAAGAGAACAATAAGTTTGACCAAGTCACAGCAGTAAACGAGGAAAACAAACAGATGAAGATAGCAATGAAGACATGTAAAAATAAAGTGTAATTTTTTTTATATATAGCTGTAATAATTTGTTACATAAAAAAGAGAAGTTGTGCAAATGCCTTTTTAACAAAATAAAAATGCATACATTGAATTAGCTTATCCATCACAAAAGCGTGACTTGATAAAAGGAAGAGATAAAATAATCATGTTTAAGGTGGAAAATGTAATCCTTTGACGGAAATATGGTGTTATAGATGACTATAAGAAATTAAATTATGACAATTATATCAGTAGTTTAATCATGTCGGACTATCTCTAACTAAGAAATCCCACCAAATTTCATGTCAAAAATATAGTGGATGGCTTGAAATTTCCCATAATTAATTTTTGCATGCATGCCAAGCAAAAGCAATCGAGATGAATAAAAACAAAAACAAAATAAAAAGTCCGTATATGTTTGGACTTAGAGAAGACCTCGCATGCAAAAAGCCAACCCACAAAATAGTTGCAGAAACACCTAATTGCGGAATACTTCAATTTTTTCAAGATGACAGATTAATATAAGTTTTTCTGATAGAACAAGCTTTATCGGATATCTTCAAAAGGTTTGGCAAACACTACAAGAAAACATGGATTTAACGACTACACTAATAGTAACAAAATCGTCGCTAAATACATAATTACGACTGTTTGGCGACTAAAACACGTAGTCGCTGAACCTTGCGTCGCTAAATTAATATGTCGCATAACAGTCGCTATTTGGCGACTAATAGGCGACCATTATTTGCAGTCGCTATTTAGTCGTCACACAGTCGCTAAGTTTGCGACTCTTTTGGCGACTGTTTTGTGACGAATCTAGCGACTGTTATGTCACTACATGGCGACTATTTTCTAAATGTTTTGGTAACTGAATTGATACTACTTTGCGACTGATTATTATCGACTTAGAATGCTAATTTTAGAAGAATAAATTGTTGCTAATTTGATTGTTATTACCAATTTATAAGCAAAAAGACTTCTATTTAAAACATAAGAACATTATAAAATAAACCACAACATAAACATACATAAACATAAGAACCAAGTTCAAGTAACCAAACAACTTACACAAGTTTTCAAAGCAACACAAATGTTTTCAAGTTCAGAGAAGGAGGGAAAGTTTAGAGAATGAGGGACCTATGGTTGTTGAGCAGTAGGAATAGTAGCAGTAGTAGCAGCAGTCGTGGCAGCAGCAGTGGCAGCAGTCGTGGCAGCAGCAGTGGCAGCAGTCGTGGCAGCAGTAGTAGTATCAGTGGCAGCAGATTGAGACTTGAGGAAGGCCATAAACTTTGGGTCAGTCTCGCTCAAATACTTCTTCACTATCGCCAAATGCTTGATCTCAGCTGCGACCCGCAAAGCCTCTGCTTCACGTTCTGCTTGGAGCGCTGCTTGTTCCTCTACCTTCCGGTTAGCATCCTCAAGCTGTGATTGGAGTGTTGTGAAAGAAGAACTGCTTCCTGGGTACTTACGCTTCCCGTTGATGTAAACCCCGAGGCTGCCAACACCAAAGTATTCTCCTCTGTCGTTTGTGACAGTAGACTGCATACCAAAAGAAAGAGTATTACACAGTTAGACTGCATAACAAAAGCAACCATAAATAACAGACTATTTACCTGAAGGAAGATCTCATCATCCTCCTCTTGAGACAGCTCAGATCGTCGCGAAGTCCCATCTGCTTGTTCATCATTCTCTTGAAGGGCAGCCAACTTAGCTGCCTTGTTCTTGAGATATGTTTCATGGACTTCCTGCGCCTTCCTATCCACAAAAGTCCCATCCTTCTTGGTATGAGTCCTGATGAAAACTTCACCAATAGTAGGAGGTCTTCCCAATTCAACTTCCTGAACAAAGTAAATATATAGGTCTAAGTAATCTAAAACTAAAACAAAGTAAATAGGTCAGAATGTACCATCTCTTGCTCTATTTGTAAAAACGACTTTGGACCAGCAACATGCTTGTGAGGACCAAGACCATTACGGTCAGACATCCTAGCTGCTGATGTGGTTGAACTCTTTGCTAATGCTTCTTCAGTGTCCCAATAGGCACACATCTCTATCCAAAGTGTTTTCTCGATCCAATTTGGCCTCTCTCGTTTTGAACATGCCTTGCTAACCATGTCTTTCATCCGCACCTGACAAATCTTGTAGAATTTAGCTTCAACAACACCTGTCACTGAGGGATGCCAGGTGTGTAGTTTCTACAAAACAAGAGTAGAGTTTGGTGTTAGTGATCAAAAAACAAAACAAAAGTGTAATTACATAAGTATAAGAAGAGACAGAATTTTACCGTGAATTCGAGGAAGTATCTTTCTCTTCTACCAGTAGGAACACAGCTCCAATTGTAATATGGCCCATCAAACTTGTTTGTGAAACATTTAGTGATCTTCCGGGTTAGCTTTCCATTGTCCTTACCAAACCTACAATCAAATAAACCAGTTAGCTTTGATACCATCCATAATCTATAAACAAGTAGACCTAATCAAATACAAACATACTCAAACTCAAATTATACAACCAGACTCTACTTAAGTTATACAAGCAGACCAATAAAGCTAATACTATATACTAACAGACTCTAACTCAAACTATACAAGCAGACCTATATACAAGCAAACCTAACAGACTATAAGACCAAAACATGCAGACCAATAAGAAGACTCTACTTAAGTATTGAAAATGTTTACCAAGCTAACCTATTTACCTAATCTATATACAATCAGACCTATATACAATCAAAATTAAAAATGTTTACCAAGTGGTTTTAGGCTCGAGGTTGGGAGAGATGACGGTGGTGTACTTCTCACGGCCTGGGATGAGAAGTGTAGCACGTAAATCTGCGAGGACATCTTCTGGGAGTGTTGAATCCCTCAACACATCTTCTTCAGATTCACCTTCAGCTTCCTCATCTTCAGATTCCTCGTGTGAGTTTTGAGCCTGAGAACTATGATGCGATACAGAGGCTCGAGGTTGAGGAGAAGGTCTTTGTTGACGAGATGGTATTTGTCGATTTGACGCTGCAGGCTGAGTCGACGCTGGAGGTTGAACCGGCGCAGGAGGTTGATTCGACCGAGAAGCTAGACGATGAATAGATCCTACAGAGCCTCGTCCTTGAACAGATCCAGACCCTCGAACTTGAGTAGATCCAGATTCCCGAAATTGATGCGACCCAGAGCCTCGAGGAGAATCATCGCCGGACTGGAACAGCTGCGTCGGAGGAGGATAGTCTCTATGAGTCGGAGGCTGAGACTCTAGGGCTATAGGATTTACCGGACTTTGCTGAGTCTCTAGGGCTTCAGGATTCGCCGGAGTGAAGGTATACTGGCTAGGAAGAGTACTGGGTCTTCGATTTGACGTCCCAGAAGCAGTGGGTCGATTGGCGACAGGTCGATTTGGGGAAACCTTCGGAGCCCTTCCTCCTCCTCCTCTTCCTCTCTTACGTTTTCCACCACTAGGAGCCATCGAGAGAGATACGAGAGACAATTCGGTCGAGAATTAGGGTTCGTCGCTAGATCGAGAGAATCTAGGGTTTGATTTGGGTGCGAGCAAAACGGGATTAGGGTTTTCTACGAAGGGAGAACGACATATATACTTGGGCTCATGGGCTAACGTTACTGGGTTGTTGGGCTTTTGGGCCCAATTTGAATGTCCAACTAGAATTACGCAGTCGCTAATTCGTAGCCACTGAGTCGCTCCAGTTGGCGACTAAATATTCGGTAACTAATTCGTCGCCATATTTAGCGACTATATAACGACAATATAAATCAGTCTCATATTAGATACTAATTAGCGACTATCGTATTTTGGTTCATATTTAGTCGCCAAAACGTAGCTAAACGGTCACTAGATATAGCGACTGCAAAATTAGTCACCGAATTAAGTCGCTAATCTCATGTTTTCTTGTAGTGAAACTTGCACAAGTTTTTGCGGACTTTCACTTGGTTTCGAACAATTTAACAAATATTTGGAAACTTTCAAAAATTGTTGTCTGTAGACTGTAGCCATAACATGAACTGTTTGTAGTAATGTACATGTGTTTTCAATATTACAAAGTTTTTTGAAAGTTAAGCAGAATTCTATTAAGTGTTTTAAAAATTTGACATGTTTATATAAACTTTCACGTATATTCCATATAAAAAAATCCTCATCCTTTTAATTGGTTTTTTAATCTTAACCCTAAATTTGTGAAATCTAAATCCTTAAAAAATTGCCTTCTTAATTTTAAACGTCTTCAGAGTTCATTTTGCCACGAATCTTGGAATCGAGGAGTAACCAATTCTTCCGTTGTGTGATGTACCTGACATCGTCTTTGAAAAGGAAAAGAGCGTTAGAAACTTAAAATGAAAGAGGGAAATTTTTTTATGCTACTGTTAAAGTTTTTTTTTGAAAAGATGTTATTTGGAAACTTCAAACTTTAGTTTCTTCTCTAAACGGCACAATATTAGTTGATACTAACTCATTAATTTTTTCTGTTTTCTAAGCCATTTTTCTTTATTTTTGTCACTTGCAAGAAACATTAAAAAATCACTATAGAGTTTAGACTCCAACGATTAAACGCTTAAAATGGTTTTCCGCTAGTTAGTTAGCTCTTTCTCTAAGATTGATACGTCCGGATCACCATTCACCATATAACCTAGTTCGTCGAATTGAAATCAAGAATAAAAGAGAGCTGTTTCTGTTAATCGTATTGAAATTACGTTAGTGGGTAAAGTGGCATTAGTCTTATAATAATATGTTGAAGGGTCATACTTGTCTCGTCCTTATAGTGTTGTCGCACGTCAAGGTGTCTCCTTAGTGACATCCACTTATCATCACAATTCAAACGAATCTAAGGACACTCTATATCAAATATCAATCAAAGCACCGGATGAAAACTTTATATGCAAAATCTTTCTATCATAAAAATTAGACACAAGCATATGTGTACTGTATATATATACACTATTGAATTGCATGGGAAACAGTGCAGTTATGGAGGTGTATACAGTCATTAAATGTGTTCCAGTTTTGCAGAACCGTGTCTACGTTCTTCAGACAATCAGTCGGAACGTTTTATCTTTGTTGATTATGACTGATCACAAGTATTGTCGTAAATAAGTGACAACATTTAGCGTATCGGATAACTAGTGAAAGAATAGAAATGAGTTTATTATATAACTTGGTCATATTAAGATTCCAAATATATGCATTGATCTTCTCAAATATCTCTAAAAGTAATCACATTCTTTTATCTTGGAATTTAGGTTAAAAGCAAAATCGTTTGTGTTAAAGTTCAAAAAGAGGAGTGAGAAAAAGAGAAGAGAGAGAGATCGGAGACAAGAAGATTCGCTCGTGGGCGAGCAAAAATGATAAAGAAATGAAATAAAGTGAGGAAAAAGGAGACAGGGCAATTAAATATCCCAACTAAGATTGGTCTCCCTCTTCTTCTTCGTCTGCTCTGCTCGTTACCGGTTACTGTCTTGTTGGGTCCTTACCCGATCCGTTACTGTCTTGCTGGGTCCTTACCCGACCCGTTTCTTTACCCTTTACCTGCTGAGAGAGATAGACATAGAATAGCATACTTTATATATCTTCTTTTTCAACCTAAAAAACTAAAAAGGGATTTGTTTTCTTCCCTTTTTAACTAAATAAGGGTTTATCTTCTGTCACAAAGACGAAAAATGCTAATTAATTCTTTAATTTGTATTTTAACTAAACACTTTTATAAGCACTGGTTCCGGAAATTGGGCTAATTAATAGTGAAACTTTAGTCTTTAGCATCAATAATACGCCCTTCTTTTACAACAAATGATGTTTAGTGATCTTTCACATTCATTAAGAAACAAACTAAAATACTTCATCCTACCATCTATAAATAAATTTATTATTGTCAGTGTTAAGCAATTTTGAATTAAATTTGACACTTAGTTAATTATGAGTTCAATGCTTGTTTCGCATAGGTATCAACGAATCATCATTTGAGAATGATATAAAACAACCTATATATATACAAGTGTAAATCGTGAACCTAAGTTATAGATACTATCATAAGCCATTTACATAACTAATGAACAAACTATTTTGTGCTGGATTTGGTATGTCCAGCTGGGTATGTCTTCATTTTTTCTGGCTCTCAAAATTTACTGATACTATAGCTATATCTGAAAAGAGTAATTCCCAATTTCAACATACAATAACACAAGATATACATATGGAATGTTTGATCCAGTTGGTAATGCTTCAAAGATGAATTAATATATCCCTTTTGCTTTAAATATTAAACCACAAAAGAATGAATTTATTTTTTTCTCGAGGCAAACTTACGTATGTTTTCTCAACAAATAAATTTCAAGGTTCGAAAATCCAAAATTAAGTTTCAAAACCTACAAGATAAAATTACAAACACGAGGCACTTACCCAAAATTAAGTTTTAAAATACATATTAAAAAAAAATCTTATAAAGACATTGAGAAAATTGATCAGTAAAAAAGTGATCACTACCCGAAAAAAAAAATAACGTTTCATTTGTGAAACCAGTATTCCTAACAAAAACATCGCAATGGTTTCGCAAGATATCCGTCCTTAATTCATCAATAAGATCAGTTTTACTAGTTATGAACAGAACCTGGAGAAACAACTGATAATTTTTAATTCTCTACCATACACATCATCGCGCAAATATATCAAAGCTTCAAATTCTGAATGAATTGGAAGAAAAACTCATGCCAATTGCAAAGATCACCTCTAGCAAACTATGTGTTGTATTATGATGAAATAATTATTTACACGTATTGTAGACAGATTGGAAATCTTTGTATAGTTAATGAAGGGGTCTGCTCGACAAATGATATTATGGATACGGTTGAGCATACGTGTACCACTTGCACGGCCAGTTTCACCACATATATACTCCTTTCTTAAGCTTTTTTTTTTCCTGGAATAAGGAATACCCCGAAACTACACGCAAAAAATTTGTTTTCAAAAAATGTCTTAACTTTTTTTGTAAGAAGCTTTCCTACAGCTGATCTAATAAGATTTTCTAAAAGGTTATGAATTTTTTTTTAAATGCTGTAATATTTATTTGTAAACAAAGTATGCTGCTTTTAATGTCCTTAAAAAAAAACTCATCTTTTAGGATTTTATTTTAGATACTGTCTATTAAATTTGATTTGTATAGAATCTAAACGTTAAGAACAGAGCATAAAACTTTAGTTTAGGTTCATCGGGATAAGGGTGGAATTTAGATAATTTTATAAAATAGAACAATCAATAAATTAGTGTAATGTGAAAATATAACTAAGTTGAAGGTAAATAACTTTGTTATTGTCTATAAATAAATAAAAAGATTTTTGTAATAGAAATGAATAATAATGAATATTCCATATTTTTCTTTTTTCATGTTGCATTTATATAGTTTATCTAAAACAGTTTGTGACAAAAAATTCCATGAACAATTTTGTCGTGATACATAATACGTGGGAGGGGAAAAAAATACATATTTGGTTTGTTTTCACGTGGATATGCACATGTTTCTGAGCACAATTTACTAAAACAGTCTCTCTAGGTTTACATTGTCGATATCTCCAAAAATATCAAAACAAAAAGAAAGAGAAAACTGAAAGCATACAAGCAACCATAAAATTTTCGATGATTCTATACTATAAGGATACAAATGTTGACTATCGGAAATTTAAACTAAAGTATTACAATTACACACGTCTATTTATTGAGCATAGGAAAATAGAACAAAAAAATAACCCAAAAAAAAATAAAATCGAACTAAAATAATTGAGGACAAATACAGATAATAATATTGGTGTAAGCGTGTACATAAATATTGATCGTGTGGGTGTGCCTGCGAAATAAGAGGTACTGTGGGTCTCACGGTTCGGTAGTGCGCGTGGGGCTCGTCCCTACAAAATTAATTATGTAACATAAAATCAAGAAATATATTTACCCAAAAAAGTAATTAAAACGAAATTTTGTAATAGAAAATATTCTTAATTAAGATTGCTATTCTCCTGGAGACTATACTGTACAAGTAATAATTAGTAGCAATGCCATGCTGCTCAATAAATATAAAAGGAAAGGACAAATTAAAACCATTATACTGTCTTCTTTTTTTTTTTTCATCAATACTGTCTAAGATATTGAGTGCAAATTGAGGAATAGAGTCGTAACTAGTAAATAATGATAAATATTTGTGCTTTTTATTCTATTGTAGTTTTCACCTTTTTGATTTTCAGATTTGAATGATTTTAGATATACAAAAAAATTAAGAATCATAATGATAGTTGCGTTAATGAGTAGTGGCGTGAGGGTTGTCATGTCAGCTAAACAGCAGAAAAATAAAAGAATGTGGGAGACAGCCTTTGCCCTTTACACATTTTTAAGCTCTCTTCTTTATTTTCTAGTACACAGTTAAAATTTTGCGGGCCCTTTGTTTAATCTATTTAGATTAACAGCTTCATATATAGTCGTTTTCCTCTTGTTAAAAATCAATCAGAATTTTGGTTTATTTGTTATGACATTTAAAGGACTAAATTGTGGCTCAATTTGTCATAATATCTAAACCAGGAATGCCAATGGGTATCGTTTTGATGTGGAATGAAAAGTTGGCTGTTTTAGACACATGAGGAGGCATATAATTAAGGAATTTTGTTCTAATGTACCATATACTGTAGCAAAACTTACAGAAATTGCCACAAAACATTTGTCTTTTCAAATGTGCCATAATGGTGGACAAGACTTTGAACCGAAAATTTTTGGTAGACAAGAAATGTTGTCCACCTTTGAAACAACAGATTAGGAAGATATTTGGTGGACAAAAACTCTTATCCACCTTTGAAACAACAGAGTTTTGGTGAACAAGAATTCGAAACGATATACAAAAATTTGGATAGACAAAAAATGTTATCCACCATTATGGCATATTTGGAAAGATTTATGTTTTATGGCATTTCTACTAAATTTTTGAACAGTAAATGGCACATTAGTTAGATTTCTCTATAATTAACTATCATGTTATGACACAAAATGTGATGACAAATGTTAAATAATGTCCAAAATGTTGGCAATGTCTTCAAAATTTGATTTTAAACCACATTCTTCATCTTGAGATGCGCCAACATCCACAAAGCGTCTGTGAAGCTGTAACTTAGAAAGTGAGACGTAGTCACTTTATTATCTCGTTTTGGTAATTTTCAAGTTTAGGTCTGCCGAATTATCTGCAAATTCAACAAAAATTATGGTTTTATACATGGGAAACGGTAGTTGTGATGATGTTGACAATGTGTTTGATTATAAATTTAACCGGACTTTGTTAACGTGGTTAGAGCTTCCAAAACTAAAATATGAAGGCTACGCCGAATAGGCGAATAGTGTATATATGGTAGTTTTTAATTCTTGAGTTTTTTTTTTCTTTTCAAATCAACAAATCCAAAAGCACAATCGTTTAATTTAATATCTCAATTTTTTTTCATGTTTCTTAGATAAAAAACTATTATACGTTGCGTTTTTTTTTTTTTTTTTTTTTTTTTTGCGATTTTCCCTGAAATATATGTCGGTTTTGCGAGTGTTTTGTAAACAAAATAATAATGGATACAATAATAGTACGGTAACCTATTTTATCATACTTGATATAGATATAATAATATAAATCGAAATTTTATTTTGCCAATTCAAAATCATAATCAAGGAGTGAGTAGACCAAAGTAACAAAATTTGGTGTGTACATCAAATGATCGGAAACAACAAAAATTCATTAATATACCTAAATACATATGTATTTTTTTCAATATTTCACATTGTTATAATTAGGTTTAATAGATACCATATTAGAAATCTCAGTGTGGTGGTTCCCACAAGCAAAGAGAGGAATGAGATAGCTATCTACCTATATTTATATCTCCACAACTTCACTCTTTTCCTCAATCAACACACACAAACATACACACACAGCGCCTTCTCCATCGTTTGATCGATTGTTTAGTTCGATCCAATGGCGGATAACACCGGAAACGATAACCGGAGATCGATATGGGGAGTTCCAGAGAAGCTTCAGCTTCACATAGCGATGCTGACGTTGCAATTCGGTTACGCCGGATTCCACGTGGTGTCTCGAGCTGCTCTTAACATGGGAATCAGCAAACTCGTCTTCCCTGTTTATCGTAACATCATCGCCTTGCTTCTTCTCCTTCCATTCGCTTACTTCCTCGAAAAGTAACCTTTTATTTCCACTCCTTCTTCAGTTCTTCATAAACCCTATATATTTTCAAGTTAATTGATAGTAGTAATTTAATTGTGTTATTCAGGAAGGAGAGGCCAGCGATTACTCTCAACTTTCTCATCCAGTTCTTCTTTTTGGCACTCATCGGGTATATATTAATATCCTTCACTCTGATCTTTTCAATAACAAAATTGGATAACTATTTATTGAATTTGTTAATGATTTATTTCACGACAGAATAACAGCGAACCAAGGGTTTTACTTGTTGGGACTGGACAACACTTCACCAACATTTGCTTCTTCCATGCAAAACTCTGTTCCCGCCATTACCTTTCTGATGGCTGCTCTTCTCAGGCACAGATTCTTCACCTCTCTCATTTTTTATTCTCTTTTGATTTAAAGAAAAAAAATAGTTTAAAACTTATGGACTGCTTGGATATACAAGAACCACTTTAATAATGTTCATTTGACTTTTCAACGTAAAAGAAACGCATAATAGTATACGTAGACAACATTAAATACCCTTTCAATTTACTTACAAAATAGTGATAATCATAGTAGTAACATACTGTTTATGTACTGTACGTAAAATACAATAATTCAGGATTGAGAAAGTAAGAATAAACAGAAGAGACGGTATCTCCAAAGTCTTAGGAACAGCTCTTTGTGTCGCCGGAGCTTCTGTCATCACTCTCTACAAGGGTCCAACCATCTACACTCCGACCAGCCACCTCCACACTCATCTACTCACCACAAACTCCGCCGTCTTAGCGCCGTTGGGAGACGCCGCGCCTAAAAACTGGACCCTTGGTTGTATCTACCTAATAGGTCACTGCCTCTCGTGGTCAGGCTGGCTCGTTTTCCAAGCTCCGGTTCTTAAATCTTACCCGGCGAGGCTCTCGGTTACGTCTTACACTTGTTTCTTCGGGATCATTCAGTTCTTGATCATTGCTGCTTTCTGTGAAAGAGAATCTCAGGCGTGGGTTTTTCACTCCGGTTGGGAGCTTTTCACCATCCTCTACGCCGTTAGTTTTTCTTTATCTTTTCTAAATATTTCGTATTTAGCCCTATTATTTCAAATTAATCAAATTAGTCCTCATGAATCGGTTTAACTTCAGGGAATCGTAGCGTCTGGAATCGCGTTTGCCGTTCAGATTTGGTGTATTGACAGAGGAGGTCCAGTCTTCGTTGCTGTTTACCAACCTGTTCAGACTCTTGTCGTTGCGATCATGGCTTCGATTGCGTTAGGCGAAGAGTTTTACTTGGGCGGGTATGTAAATATTAAAATTCGAGTGGTTTATGTAAAATTTTGTTAAAATTTCAAGGACCTAAATAAGAACAATTTTTTTTAAAAATGCCACGTGGTGTATTTCTAATGGCAGGATTATTGGAGCGGTCTTGATCATAGCGGGACTTTACTTCGTATTATACGGTAAGAGCGAAGAGAGGAAATTTGCAGCACTAGAGAAGGCAACGATCCAGTCCTCCGCGGAGCATGGTATCGAACGTGCACCTGTTTCTCGCAACTCCATCAAGTCGTCCATCACAACTCCACTACTCCATCAGTCAACGGACAACGTTTGACTAATTGGACACATCTTTCTCCAGCTAATAATTACAAATGCCATTACCCAATTAAAAGGGAACAATGGTGTGCCGTTGTGTTTTATGACTTTTGTGTCTGTTTTTTTTTTTTTCGTTTCTTTTTAGTGTTTTCTCTCTTTTCAATTATTAATTACCTAAGAAAGGTTTTTGAAGAAAGGAAAAAAAAAAAATGGTGGATGAGACATCATTGTTCATGAGGAGGATAATGATGATGGTGATGAACAAGACTATGTGGGAGCTGTGGATTGAGACTTTTCTATATATAATATCTGGCTGATATATTAGTGCCATTTTTTTACATTTCTTGTGGGGTTTTTCTTTCCTTTTCGATCATCAATAGAATGTTATAATTTGCATTTATGATCTTTAGTAATTATCACTGTCGGGGTGTTTAGTTTGAAACTTTGAATTAGATCAAACGATTTGTTCTGAACTGAAGTAAAAGATCATCCGAATTTGGTTGAAATGATCTATTAAAGAAACAAATTTGTTACATTTTATATTATGATCAAATATCCAATAAAATTGATTCTTAACCGAATGGGCAAATTAAAACCAACATTTAATATAATATAGTATGGACCAACTGAAGTATATAATATGGACCAATTCCTGAGGTGAAAGTCCATAGATTTTAACATTGTATTAAAGTTTAGCTAACTTGAGATAGATGTGTTTGTTCGATATAAATATTTTGGTCTAATATTAGAATTTTGTTTGAAACAGACGGATAAAAAGCATTATTTTGGGGATGTGCCTTCACTCAAATGGTTAAGTCCATTTGACTCCGCCTTCTCCACCGGAGTTCGACTCCACTAAGTCGCGTTACCCCGCGTAGTAGAGATTGACTATGGATCGAACTTTGTAGATCCAAAGATGTGAAAAAGCATTATTTTAAGGCGAACGTGTTAAAAATTTCACATATACAATTACAATTCAATGCGCTCCATTTATCTTTTTTGGTTTTCTTGGATTAGCTTACAGGTCAGCTATTTACATTTAAACTATCATCTTTTGATTTTATTTAAACGAAGTTCATTTGCAAAATTTCGTATCTTATTCTCTCTATATACATAAGAATTTCATTAACAAAAAAATCATATACATAAGGAAAAAGACAGTGCATAAGCGACTTTGTCTCATAATTGTTATCTGGAATAGAATAAGAAAAACCCAAACTTTATATGTAGTCTACAATGTGGATCCAAGATAAATATGCATTAGTTCAATCATATATAGCCCATTGGTGGAGACCATATATGGGCCGAGATATGATTTTGGGCCGAAAATAAACGGGCCAGGTTTGTTATAAACCTCGCCATATAGTCTACTAAGACACGCGAGGATTACACATTAGCACAAAGAATAAGGTAAGAAGATGCAAAGAGAACCAAGATAAAAGTAAAAGCAAACAAAGACAATAGTCAAAGACTTAAAAGCCCATAGAAAACAAAGACATATGTAGTCTTAACATTGACCGTTACACACAACGTAACATCCCGTTTTCTTTACACAGATACATTGCACTTGATTAACAGTTTTTCCCTTGACACATTTTTAGCTTTGAGACAAACAACTGTCGTTTTTATGTTTTTTGATATGGTAAGAATCTGCTTTCACACTACAGACAAACCACATATATAGAAGTGCACATATATAAATAAGTACATGGAACTGGTGTATATATACATATATATCCTAGATCACGGTGAGGTGACTATATTTTGTAAATGTAATTTTGTATATGATAAAGTCTTAATAATTAAAGAGAGTCTAGTGACACCTCAAAGTGGGGAATGAAAGGAATCCCAATTAGAAAAGCCACCGGAAATACAAGTATCAAACCGAGAAATATTATTATCTCCTTCATGAACCCATGGAAACCCTAACGACATTGTAGCTTCTTCCCATATAGAAGAATCATCCATTACCGGCAAATCCACGTTTATATGCTCCCATGAGATCTCGTCTGTCACTCTTCCACATGATGACATCTCATTGGATGAACACGGCGACTCAGAGTCGCTGCTTTTTCCACCGGTGTTGCTGCTTGGTGTCGTATGGGACGCCTGAGACGACGCCGTTTCAGGGTAACTTCTTAAGGACTCAGGGAGGTTGAGGTGAGCCTCGGGCCCATAGAGCTTACGAGCTGCGGAATCATAAGCCAAGGCAGCTTCGCGGGAGGTGTCGAAGGTACCTAGCCAAAGACGAGCTCCTCGGTTAGGCTCACGGATCTCAGCGACCCATTTGCCCCAAGTGCGTTGTCTAACACCTTTGTAGGTGCAAGACGCGTTATCGGGGCCACCTTTTCCTCTCATACAGCCTTTCCTCGAACTAGCTTGAACGGTTCGTTGTTTCTTATTAGCACCAACCATCATTACTTTTGGCTCTATGGATGACATGTACGGATGTTGACAACTCGAAAGTGATGTTATGTGACGACTTTTGGTGAGTGATAAGGCAAAGACATGAGGTAATGGGTAGGTGTGTATATATACAAGAAGAGAGTGATGAAACGTGGCGAGGAGAAGATATAGCTGGCGCAGACATGACGGAGGGTCGTGTCGAGAGAAGGAAGCTGGTGTTGTGTTTGTAATTTTAACACTTGTCTCGAGAGACCCTTCTCTTTTTGGCAACAGTAATCGTAAAACCAGCAGAGAGAGAGAGATGAGTTTGAGATTTTCCAAAAATTAAAAACGAGAGAGAGAGATATGGATAAGGTCATACGCGATTGGGGAAATATAAAAAGATTTATCACTATGAATTTAATGGTTCGTCGTGTGAACGCTTTGGCTTTAACTTTTAATTTCAAACAGCTGAAAATGAAAAATAAGATATAGTTCATTACATGATTTCCTAAATCAAGTAATATAAAAAAAAATTACTTTTATGATTAAAACCCTAGATTTTACCAAGCTTTTCTCGATAAAACATGGTCTCATATAATATAATTCGTAGACATTGAGAAAGATTTGTACTTTTTTTTAACTCTCCGTACATATATATATCATCTATTATTTTTTTTTGGTAATTTATATATATATCATCTATATATAGAGTCACCAATTTCTTTCTTGATGTTATCCATTAGTCTAGGCTTTTTAATTGCCACGTGGGAAAATATAGCAATATACTAGTAGTATGAATGTGTGTAAGGGTCAGTCATGTGGCGGCTCTATGTCCACGCAAACTAAACGTACGGGACCCAAAGATTCCTCGAGAAGAGACAAAACAAAGTTCACTGAATCTTAGAAAACATTTTTGTGGTCGAGACACACGTGAAAAGGCGGCCTTTTTAACCGATAACTACAAAGCTCCGGTTCCAATTTATCTGGTTCTTTTTTTTTTTGCTTTCTCAGATAGAACTATTTTTAATTTGAGAAACATAATTTACCAAATCAATGTAATTGCAACTAAAATCCATACTTTTTTTTCTTTGGAAATTTTTTTTACTTCAAGAGAAATATTTAAATCAAGAAAATGGTGAGATTTATTGGTAATATTAGTTTTGAGAAAATGAGTGGTATTGTTGAGGAATTTTGGTGAAAAAAAATAATGTTACATCATTTGAAGACTTGACTAATTAGTGGTATTCTTGAGGAATTTTTTCATGTTTTTGCCTTTCTTTTGTTTTAATTAAAAATTAAATTATTTTTGAAACTATTAATATTTAATTTTAATAGTAAAAGTTGTTAGTAGAAAAATTGTAAACTAGACAAATATAATAATTTCGTTTTTATCAATTAATTTTTAATTTTTCATTCAACTGAGATTTCGCAATTCAGTAATCCTCGGTAAATTTTGAATATAAATTATCTTGTTCAATAGGGATTTTGTTTTGGTAGATTCGACTTCGATGTTTGATTAAATTAGCAGATAGACTTTTAACACATCTCGAAAATACAAAAAATGTTGGAGTACCACTTGGTCCAAACATAATAAAATACGGACCTCTCTTTGGGACATTTAAGAAGCAAAATGGTACTATATTAACAAGCATTTTAACGTCAAGTTTGAAGTTCAAAATACTGAAAAACAAAGCCACTATTGCCCAAGTGTACTCCAACTCTTTTCCACCATATCCATAGCCACCACCATGCATGCCGGGATACAACCACGTGAATAACTATTTTGCCCCGAACAGTCTTTGATGGCCTAATGGTTTCAATGTGATTTCTCACACACGACTGCCAGAGGTCACGAATTCGACTCTCTGTCGGCGGGGTGGAACTGAAACTTCTCTAAATAAAATTCTGTTGTAGATGGCCCACGGATTTCTATAACGCATATAGGATTTTCCTGGATATGGAGCCTTTTGGGGTAGGATCAGTCACAATAAAAAGTTTACCCTAACAGTTTTTTTTTTTTTTTTTAAACTATAAGGTGGAATTAAGAAGTGGAAAAAACCAGCGCGTGGAGAGCACGCGCGTCTCTCTCCTCTCTTCTCTATTTTTTCCCGAAAAGCTTTTCTAGATCTGTCCTCTCCGCCTCTCCGGTGTGCTTTTCCGGCACCGGGGAGGGCTCATCTCTGTCCCTCTTCGTTCTTCCTCAAATCCGGTGGTCTCTTAGGCGTTTTTGGGGTGGCTCGCCGTTAAACTTTCGGTCTCTAGTAGGTGGTATTGCGTCGATTGAGCTTTTGCGGTGGGCCAGTGGCAAGGAGTGTCTCGGCTCTGGTTCCAGTGGCAAAGGAGAGTCTCACCATTGGATCTGGTTGCTGCTCGTTTTTGCAGCTCGACGACGGCTCGCATCCGGCGGTTTCTAGTGGTGGTTCCATGGTTGTGGCTTCTCCTCGCGTGGTGCTCTTGTGTCGGCGTTTTGGTTTGGTGGCTCTTTGAGCCGGCATAGGTGTTTCCGGGCTCTCCTCACGGTGGTTTGCTTTTCCGGTCGAGCTGATGGTGGTTCCGTGTCGCCGGAGGCTGCAATTTGGTTCCCTCTGGTTTTCTGGCGAGATCTGGGTTTACCTCTCCGGTCTGGTGGTGTTTCTCCGGCTTCCTCCTCGAGCTTTTTTCTCGTCTTCAGGCTGTGGCACGGCGATGGTGTATAGTTCTTTTGGTGCTTGGCCAAGGCTATCTCAGCTTCTTCTCCGACGTTGCCTCTCCTCTTCTCCTTTGCTTCCTCGCACTCTCCCGTTTCAATCGTTGCTTGAGGACGGCATTGTTGATCTGAGATAGGGTTTGCGATTGGAGATAGGTTAGGTTGTTCGGTTTTTGATTTGCTGTTTTGGTTCTTGTGGCAGTTGGTTAAGCAAGCGGTCCTAGGTCGCTCCGGTGGCTTGTTTGTCTTCTCCCCTTGGCTTAGTGGCTCGACAGTTTTCAGAGATATGGCGTGCGTTGGCGAGCTGGTTTTGCCTCCCCTGCAGAATCTCTATGTCACGTGCTGCACTTGTTGCCTTGCTTGAGGTGTTGTTTTCTTTTTGTAGGTGTTGGCTGCGAGGGTTTGTCATGGTTTCTTGAAGCCGTGAAGCTTTTTCGCTTTGCTCCGGCAAGGATTAGCTACGCGACAACCTTAGGTGGGGTTCTCCGTGTTGAATAGAGGCAGCGGTTTGGTCTACTAGGATTTTTTCTATCTCGTGGGAGATGGTTCTTGTAGCTTCATGCTCGGGAATGGTGGCTGGAGGCGGCTTCTCTGGCTGCCCGTAGATGCTCCCGTGCCGCCGGGTGTAGGTGATTTTTAGCTTCATGCTCGGGAATGGTGGCTGGTGCGTTTAAATCCTCTTTAGCCTTCCCGTTTTTGTGTGTGTCCTCGGAGAAGCTGTAGGTGATTTTTTCTAAGGTTTGAGGGCTTGCCTAAGGAAGAGGTTGCCCGTGGCAACGACGATGAGGACTCGAGTTCTTAGGAGCTGAGGCAATCACACGAATGTCCGAGTTTCTCAGTTCGGAATTGGTGTTTCTTCTCGGTTCTCTACTAGATGGGTTGTCGCTTGTGTTCTTTCCTTGTTGCTTTTTTATTTGTAGTTGTTCGTTTCTCTTGTTTGGTTTTCGGTCTTTTCTGCTACTAGTTTATCTCTGTAACTTCTGTCAAAAATCTTAAAATGGTATAAAACTTAACCTTTTACCAAAAAAAAAAAAAAAAACTATTTCGCCCATAACCACAGTCTCTTCTAAATTTTGAGAATTTACCAAATATCTGGAACTATGCTAAGAGTTTTAAAACTAAATATACAAGTTTGGATATATGTTGACAAAAAAAAAGTTTGGACAGATTGATTGTGCTATCTGGTTTCCGTTGCTTTGAGAATCTAGGTCTTGTATATGAGGAGTCTCGGTTGATGGCATTTGATGAGAGGTTATCTAATAACAATCATTGCCCAAGTCGGCCAGTCACCAAGACAACACTGATATACATTTATACTCAATAGTACAAGTGTACAACCATGTTTAGATACCTTGGTATCAGTTTCATGGAACAATATGTACTAATAAACTTTGTCACTTGGAAGAATTTGCGGATCAGTTTTTTCCTTTCCTTCAGCTCAAAATGATCCAAGTACTCGTGTGAAATTTCAGGAGATCGAAAACGTCACAGTCTCATTAACATGTAAGGGTCGGCCCTGAACAGAGTCAAATAAAACATTGGTTTTGGGCTCCCATAATTTTCTAAAATCCACAATATAAAATTATTGGCAAATAGACCCTAAATTTATTTAATTTTACGATAAAAAGCCTCCAATTTTTTAAATTATTGAAAATAATGTAAAATTATTTTATTTTAACTTTGTCCCCCAACCACAAAGAAAATAAAACTAAGCTTTGTTGCTCTGGTAATAAAAATCAAAGATAATCTGATCACTTACATAGTAGACGAAAGCTTCTTCTTGGAGGTGGTCTTAAGATCCACGAAATCCCTTTCAAACTAGAGTATATTTGACCACCCTTATCGCAAGACTCTTAATTGATTCTTAGATGATTCTTAGGTTTTAATCTGAATTAAATTAAATGATAAATAATGAATTATGTTAAGAACGTCTCTTAGTTAAGAGACAAAAGAGAAGCTAAGAAGCGGACACGTGTCGCCACGGCATCCACCTCCAAAACAATTTTTTTCCCTTCCTCCTTTCATCGTCTCTCTCTCTTTATCGACCTCCAACGCGAAAACAATCCAAAACGACTAGATCCGATGAATTTTGAGGAGATATGCGTCGGAAATTAGACTTTGATCTGTCGTTATCATCATTACACCATCGTTGGAGGCCATTGACGATTTCTGGTTCACCAAATCGGAATCACCAAATCGGACAGTTTGGTTCAACGATGCTCCAATCAATTTTCCATGGTACAAATCTCTCTGATTTCATTTGTATATCTTGTTGAATTCAGGTTAATTGATGTGGTGTCGATGTTAGCAAAATTAGGGTTTAAAATTAGAGAAATCAGAGCTTTTTAAGTTTCTTCTGTGTTCTAGGCAAATCCTACCATTTGGTATGAGATTACAAATGAAATTATGTTTGTTTTCTAGAGAGTTTGGTTCTTGGAATGGAGATGTTGGAGTAGTAGTTTCTGGTAGATCAAAAGGGTATTTTTTTGGATCGAGATTTATCAATTCTTTGGACTATGGAGAAGAGAAGTCTGAGGGAGTGGAAATTGTGAATTTAAATCATGAATTCAGTTTTGCATTGCCTTATACTTGTCTTATGTTCTCAGTCTTTTAGTTAATGATCTATGTCTGCTGATGATTATCTCTCTGCTCATTATCTCAAAGGAATAAAGCATGTTTTCTTTATTTATGTCTCTTACTTTCAGGTTGTTCAGCAAAAGACTGCTGCTTGCTTGTGTTTGACCACTGTCAAGAACGAGGACAAGCTAGAGTTCAGCAAATTCCTAGAGGCTATCAAGGTAAAAGCTTCTTGTCTTTAATATAAGGGTAGATCGTTGTGAAATATATTTTTTGGAGATTCTTATGAATGTTTCTCTGGTTTTGGTGTATAGGCCAACTTCAATGACAAGTACAAGGAGTACAGGAAGAAATGGAGAGGAGGCATAATGGGATCATATTAGTCTCAGGCGAAGACCAAGGTCAATGAAAGAGTTCTTGCAAAGGATGCTGCCCAAAGGATAAATTATCTCTGCTCAGTAGATAAACCAATGAAAGATGATAAAGCAGCGCAGTTACTAGGTAATGTCTATGGTGTTTTGGATTTGCAGTTGCTTCTTTCAGCTTCTTAAGACAAGAAAATCCGGTTATGGAGAATTGGTTGTGATCAATGTCTTCATATCTTCCATCGATGGCAACCAATAACCATGAGTTGTTTTTTTTTTGTTGACTATGCATCGTTTTACAAAATTTAAATTTATTCTTAAGAGTTACATTTAGAATGCTACCATTGGAAGAGACTAAAATTAAGAATTTCTATTCAAGTTCTTAACTTTGATAAAAGCAAAATTTAATACTAAAATATTCCTAAGAGCCAAAATTAAGAGCTCATTGATAATGTTGCTCAGGGAGATTGGACATCTTTTTTTATCATCCATCCCCGTAAAAATGAAATATCTATCATTTTTTTTCTTGATTTTTCTGAGTCCCCTAAAAGTAAAGTAATCTATTTGAATATAATACAGTAAAACCTCTATAAATTAATAATGTTGGGACCAAGAAATTTTATTAATTTAGAAAGGTATTAATTTATCGATAAATTAATAATTATTAATTTATATAGAGATTTTACTAATTTTGTAATTTCTTAAAAAATTTATATCTAAAAATAAATTTTTTCTTTATAAGCAATATCTTTTAAAAACTAATTACAAGTAGAAAAATAATTATTAAGTTTAAAAAACAACACAAACTTTTTTCGAATAATAGAGTCATATTTTATTAAATTTTTACCTAGAATATTTTAAATATATATCATAGTAATTCATATATGACATATATAAATTTATATATATATATATATTAAATTAAATATATATATATATATAGATAAGTTTATACAATTATTAATTTATAATATAAATGGGACCATATATTTACATGAAATTTAAAAAAAAATTATTATCTTATTAATTTATCGATTTATGTCATATTTTATACTGGTCCCAACTCCGGACCGGAAGAATTTATTAATTTAGAAAGGTTATTAATTTTTTTTTTTTGACATATTTAGATCGACAAGGGAGGGGTTATTAATTTATAGAGTATTAATTTATAGAGGTTTTACTGTATATAGAAGGGATCCCAACTGTATGACTCCACTAATCACGCCAAGTGTCCGCATGCCGAGTCTTTTTTCATGTAATTGTAGATAGCAAAAGAAAGTCAAATGGCTTTAATCAAATGAAATTGTATGTGAGACAACCACTATTTAGACCCAAAAATAATGTAATTATAGATAGAAAAAGAAAGTTGAAGTTGTTGTTACGATCAACGTTGTAACACTTGTTCTAAAAATCGGCCGTCTAGCCGTCTAGGTATTGATCGGGTGGAGACCGCGGTAATTTTGTCCAAATCGATAAAAAAATTCGGATCTAATTTTTGTCCGCTTAACCCAAATTTTTTTTTTCATTTCTTTTTTTTATGAATCTAAAATTCAAACGTTCTACTTATGTTCATAATTGTAAAAAAATCATAAATTTGACATTACATTCTTGTTTTCATGTGTTTCATTCAATTTTAAAAATAATATTATATAAATTTCTTATTTATAATAAATTAATATGTTTTTAAAATATTAAATAACTTTAATTAGTTTATGTTTCATCTCCGATTTTCTTGATATGTGTTAGACTCACCTTTACCGTCCGAGTAGTGTCTGCGACTTTTTGAACATGTAACAAATGATTAAAAAACAATCAACAAAAGTCTGAACGTATTGGAAAAAGTCGTTAGCCACAAACTTCTCATAACAATTTAATTAAGATTTTTTTATCAAGAAAATTCCAAATTCCATAGTTTGATTAGCTTGTGGATTGGTCATCACCGTCGCTCTTCTCTTTGTGGATTATATAGATATAACAGGCGACGCTAAGAGCAGCGGCGCCTAAGGCGATTCCTCTGAAGACATCGAAATGATCGTACTTGTCATAAAAACAAACCACGAGAAGCGACACGATCGGCCACGTACAGACGCTGATCACGTTCGAGAACACTGCCGAGACGGCGAACACGAGCCCCACGATCCCGACCCAGTATATCTGCCATGCAACGGCTTGACCCACCATAGTCCTCACGTAGGCAATCTCTCCCTTCGTGAACCTATCCATCTCTTTCTTCATATTGTGATGTTCACCGGAGATGAGAATGGCTGCTACTAAGATGATGGTGGTGACGAGAGACAAGAAGATGATCAACTCAAGAACGACGACGAAACTGGGTTGTTTTCTGTTGGTGGATGTGTTGCAAATAGAGATAACTTCCTCGAATACCTGCCTGATAACGCAGAGGAGGAAGGAGAAAAAGGCGGCAGCGCATAAAGCCACATAGATAGTTCCCCATTTGTTGGATTTCGTCCAGCTGTCGTAGATGGGTGACCCGGCGGAGAAAGTGTAGAGAGTGAAAGCGCCAGCGAGGACGGCTAAGATGAGAGAGATAATCATCCATCTATTGAATTTGATTTTGTTGTAACACGTGGATAAAATCAGGGTGAATAAGAGCTGCGTCGTGTAGATGAGAGTGAAAACTCTAAAGGGTATCTGGTTTCTAACGTTGAAGAAAAATGCTTGACAAAACATGTAGATGCAGAGACAAGAGTAAGTTATGGCTAATTGCTTGAAGGAGGTTCCACCGGAGAAAATGAGAAGTTGTTTCTGTTTCTTGATGAGGAAGTGGAGAAGGAAAGGGAAGATGAGGATGGGGAATCCGACGACCTGGAGAAGTGGTTGAGTCAAGATACCGCGGTGGCGGCTCAAGTTTCTGTGGAGGAAGTAATAGTTCTCGAGGAGTCTAGCGATGCATTGACCTGTTACGGCCAAGATGGTGCATATGATGATGGTAACCCACTTGTTACGTCTCTGATTCGATTCACTGGTTAAGCTGATCGGTGTGGTTAGGCGGTGCTCGATATTGAGCGGTATTTGCACAAATTGTTCTGTAAAGCGGAAAAAATATTATGAGCAATATGTGACAAGCTAAGGGAATATAATGAGACAGAACAATGGGCTTACCTTGTGGATTGGACTGTATTGGTTGATTATGTCCCATCATATTTCTTGAGTTCTGGGAATCTAGGAAACTTGCGTTTGTGTGTTTATAGCCAAACGCAATGGGTTTTGGGGATTGACTTTGACGAAGTTAGGGTTTTGCCTAGTTGAGCAAATGGGTTTTAGTTACTATTTGCAGACATATTCCTAGAAGTAAAAGACCAAGTACAGATGCAATGACTTTGTCATTTATATTTTAGTCTATAGAAGTGCTTTTGCTTCTTCTATATCTTTTAATAACCATAATCATAATGCTTTTGCTTCTTCTATTTTCGATCACAGAAGTATTCAACTTCCAAAGTTTTGGAATTCCAGGAATGCAAGCATTTTTTATGGCAACGGAAACAACTAGTGTACATAAATTCTTCAATGCAAACACTTTTTCTTTTATGTAAAATTATATTCACCAAAAAACCTTTCTTACATAAGATGCTTCCTTAGTTTAACGTTTTATGAAAATATTTTTGAAGAAAAACAAAACATGGAGCCATAAAAACAGAGAGCTGTAACCGAAATCATCTTCTTCTCGCGGACACTTTTTAATTCTTATAGCAGAAAAGTTCAAAAATATATGTTTGGTGTAGCAATATGAATCGATAGAGACTATCTTGACTCGAAAGAAACACCACCAGACTCACTCTGCTCAACCCTAAACACCAAACTGTTTGGTAAGTTTCCGCTTGATTCTACACGAGATGTCGAGAAAGGTCAGCCAAAGCTAATTTATTCAGTACCATTGTTGCAACAAAACTGATACAAGTACCATAGGCCTATAGACAAAGCAACCAACACTACTTAGTCTCTATATGAGTCGTAGCAGTCTTGACATCCCTAATTTAGTAAACATCTCTTTCTACTTATCAAAAATCAGTCTACGCAGAATTGTTGACATAGCATGTAATCTAGGCTTTCACTGTAAATGCTAACTCAAGAAAAGCACAACACTTTTGTGATCAATTAAGCTATAAATCCTATCAAAACCCTCAAAACATCTACTAATATAATACCACCAAAATCACCATAATTTACAAGCCAATCATAACTTTGCAGTATTTCATAAGTTTCGTATATTCAATTACTGACAAAGCTCAATATATATCAAACGCATAGAGAGATTCAGATTCTATGTACACATACTAAGACGACGAAGGAAACACATCTTTAACAGCAGAAGCAGCAGTCAAATAATTAAGTGTATTCCTCAACGTCTCTCTTTCTCTCTTTAACCTAGCCGCAGTATCTTCAAGCTCAAGCAACGCTTGCTGCTCTCTCGGAGCTCCTTCAAACGTACTTCCGACGAAGAACGAGAACGGCGTCGGGAACTGATTCCTCCTCAGATCTTGAACTTCTTTCTCAGCCTTCCCATTCAATCTATTCGATAACCTAATCACTTCTTTCATCAGAACTTCGACTTCATTCGCTAACGAATCAAGATTCTCTTCACCGGAAGGACGATCTTCAAGCCACGTGACTTCTCCGACAAGGTAAGGTTTCTTGCGGACGAGATTCGTGACTCGGAATCGTTCTTGACCTTTGCAGATTAGGAAGAATCGATCATCGACAAGACGTTCGTGTTTCACAACTTCGCCGACGCATCCGACTTCTGCGGCGGAGCCGGAGGCTGAATCAGAGTAAACGATGCCGAATCGGAGATCGGATTGGAGAAGAGTGTGCATCATGATACGGTAACGGAACTCGAAGATCTGAAGAGGGAGGATTGCTCCAGGGAAGAGAACGAGTGGTAGTGGAAACAGAGGAAGCTCGACGATGTCATCAGATTTTGGAGATTTCGCGTTGTTGTGATGCTTCTCGGAGAATGAAGAAGATGAACATCGGAAGGAACTGTTAAGCTTACAACGCCGGCGATTATCAAGTGTCGGTGATAGAGATCTAAGGGGTGGTTTGGATTTGAAGGAAGGAGATAATGAAGTTGAAGAAGGTGAAGAGACTACGTGTGGAAGCGCCATTACAGGGGAAGAAGAGACGAAGTAATCAGAGTATACAAAAAAAAAAGGGTTTTATTACATATTTGCCTTTTGGTGGGTTTTAAGAAAAAAAAAAATTAAAGATATAATAATTGACATGTCATTATTAACAGATATTTGAGTGAGTGTTTGTTTTTGTTGTGGATAATAAACGAGAGGAGAGGAAGAAGAAGTGGATGTGATTCTGAATATCCCACGAGTGAGAGACTTTATATTATCCATCTACAAAATTATTTCAGTGCCACGTGCTCTTTTTGATTAGGGAATCACATAACCAAGAAGGAATTAAGAGAATGATCTAGAGACAGAATAAAAACTATTTTTAGAGAAAAAAGTGTAGAAGTTAGTTGGTAGAGCATTTGAATGGTGATTACTGATTAATGTGGTTGATTTTTGTTTATGATTTTTCCCCTTCTTATGCGTCCAATTTTCAACCAATTATGTGCCAATATCATCACTAAAACTGGTCAAAGTATAAGCTTTGTGCTTGTGGTAATTTCATTTCAGGGTTGTGTAATTGTTGATTTGTTAATTTTTTGATCAACTCAAATATTTTCTTCGTTTGAAAGATGAATTAGAATAAGGGCCCATAAAGAAGAGTCCAACTAATTTTATTCTTGTGATAAAAAAAAGGAACAATTTTTCGTTTACACATAAAGATTTAAACGAATAAAGGCCCACAAATAAGCCCATTGTACAAAATGGGCCATTATATATGAATAAAGGTTTTGTACTTTGTATCATAAAATTCTAAATCTTACAAAAATCTCCACACTTGCAGCCAAATGAAAATTAGTTAAGCGCGAGTTCGTTTCACTAGCTAGACTAGATCTGAAAAAGACATTGTAAAGACAAAAAATAAAACGATTTTCGCAAAGTAAAATGAGAACCACTAATCAAATATCAATGGGAGATTAGGAGACCAATAATAGAAGTGTAGTAGGATAAAGACGAGTCCAAGGCATGTGGGCTTTGGAATCATTTGTCTATGTTGCGACAAAACCATTCTTATGCAAATCCAATCGACATTAATTTACAGAAACAAATCTAATAATCGCTTTCGTAAGAGAACGCATCAGTAGTTTCATCTCCATGTATTGGCCGATAAATGTTAAAAGAATATCTTTGTATAGAGCTTGGAGCAAACCAAACCATATGCCATGTTTTGTCTTCCCATATAGTATATGTTTTAGTTATTAATATTAGTTTGACGGTTAGACTTTTTAGTTTTATATATTTCATTCAATTATTTTTAGTTTTTCTAAATATAGTTGTAAATATATGATATTTTGTCATAAATTGTTAATTTTGATTTTTTTGGTGGGCATAAATTGTTAAATTTGATAATAGTGCTAGTTTCTTTTTTCCTTTTTTTATACCGAAAATTACTTTTCTGCTAAAATAGTTAAATACTATTTGTACTTCCATCACTTATATTAAACTCCCATTGGTTTCGACCACACAACATATAACACACCAACAAACAAACACCTAAATATGTAAACAGATTTTTTTTTTTTTTTTGGTAAGAACAGATTTATTTGTTGGCAGAATATAAAAAGCAAATACAGAAAAAAATGTGGTCTGTAGCCCAACAAAAGCATCATAAAAGTCCGCATTATGATTCAATACATTACGCATAATATTTTTAAAGCTTTGATTCAAAACTGTGATGTCGATGGAGGCTTTGGGTTTTAGCTTTGGTCCAAAACTTTGAATTTGATCAATTGGGTACATTCCAAACTCTCAATTCACGTCGACAATGAAAAGGGAAAACCAAAAAGAACAAAACAATAATAGTATTTATGTTTTCTTAGAAAGGATAGCCATAAAAATAGAAAAACACAAGGTCCCTTCGCGATGATTGATGACCGACTGACCGTAACAAGATCAAAGCTTCAGAGAATCTTATATAGTTTTCACATTCATAAAACAAAAGTAACAAACATATTTATGCTTACAACTATACTATTCTTATAGATGGACTTAAAGGCGTGTGGCTCTATACATAATTGACCAAATTATGAAATTCTTGGTTCAAACTAAGTATTTAGAAATATTATGCTCAAGATTTGAGGTAGAAGTTTTCCTATTCATTAAAAATTCTCTAGGTTTCAAAAGTACTGAATTGTGTTTTTTTTGTCAAAAACATTTTGGATGATGACACAATGACGATACGAACAATCATACGCTATTTATTTTGGTCTAAACGTTTTTTTTTTTGGGCCCACTCGAAAGTGGATCCTTCCAAAAATAGGCGTATGCCACTCAGCGTGGAGAGCACACGGTATTCTTTAGTAAAAAACGAAAGAATAGTTCGCTTTGGTCTAAACATTACAAAAACTAATTAGTAATTCATCCGTTAATTAGTTAGTGTCTACTGATTACTTATTTTCAGTAATTCATGTGATCTACTGCTTCACCGTATTCTAATTCTGGCTTTGAATGGAGGTAAATTAAAGAAACCAGTAAAGGGTAAACCATATATGTAAATGGTACGTCTCGTCTCTTCAATTATTTCAAAGGGTCAAAAATATATTGCTAAATTTGTGGAGAGTATCGTGAAACTTGTGGCTGCACACGGTAACCATTTTTAGGCAGACATAGTGAAGATCTCGAATCAAATCGCTTTGGCTCCGTATCTTCAATGTCCCAATCAAATTTCTTTCTTTCATCTTTCCATTACATTTATTATTTCACATCTACCATAGTCCATATTATTATAATTACGAGTTATAAGTTACGTATAGGTAACGTTTAACGTACATACAAAAGAACGTTAATAACTAAGTCTTAACTTATACTTACGCGTATGATGCTGGAAAAAATGAAAAAGTAATATTAACTTATACTGTCCGACCACGAATTGGAAAGGGATAATATAATGTGTGTGGGTAAGTAAGTGTCAATGGTTCAATATTTTATGGGTTTTAGAAAATATTCAAAATAAAGTATTAGTAAGTATTTAAAAATTTAACAAACAACCTAAAATAGTTTATTTCCAAACTAAAATAGAATATTTTTGAAAGCTTTGTTCATATTTTATTAACATGGAAAAAGCTAGAGTAATACTCCAAAATACCATTAAAAACTCTGTCTACTAGAAATAGAACAACTTTTTTTTATTTTTTTTTGAATAGAATGGAAAATTTATTCAAAAAGAAAACATTTTGTACAAAGAATTGCAGCTAGTTTAAAGAATTTCTATGATTATTTTGAAAGATTAAAAGAATAAAGTAGAAAAATTATTCTATCGTTTTGCAAACCATGTCGACAATCCTTTGTCGAATCGAGTATCTTCCATGGTTCGAATCGTCGAAAGTTATTACGGACTTGCTTGTCAATAAACTGGATTAGCTTAGAGGGGTGAGTGGCTGGTTATCCATGTCGCCTATCATTTCTTTCCCGCCAAATTGTATGTATTGAGATTAGAAATACATACCTCACGAGGAAAATGCGGAGAGCATCTTGAGCATTATCAACCAGGAACTCAAGAATGCAATCCCATTTTACCGTGAACATCGAATCAAGGAGCTTATGAGTGAGACTTTGCCAAACTTTTGCTGAGTATGAACACTCAAAAAAAATGTTAGAACAATTTTTATTCAAAAACATGTATTATGAAAATATTAATTTAAGGGATTATACAACAATGAAACTAGCCCCAAAAATTGTTTATTAGTTTGCATTATCCATGAGATGCAAGTAGACTACAAGTCATGGTCAACTAGTTTAAGAGACTTCCTACTTTACACTGCAAAAATGTGATATTACGAGAATTTCCTTAACTTTTTTTTTATCAAGTGATATCCACAATATGATTCATTCCATATGGTTCATATGGATGTCTTTCGAAAACCATGAGATGGTCTTTTGTGATTACCAAAAGTTTATCACCAAAATTGTTTACTGGTGTTTGGTTATTTATATCTTTCATTTGGATCAAACTTGAGGTGTGTAAATATTTATCACATAAACGTGCCATGAATCCGAAATTTGAACCGTATATCAAGTCCTCAAAACGTCTGCATTTCCAATCCCCAAAGCATCGTAGATCCGGCATATGCTATAGATATATGATACACAGAATCTAATTAATTACAATAAAATGTCTTTTGAAAAGAAAAAACAAACAATAACAAAAGAAAAGTTGAGCTGTAAATGAGTATGAAATAAAGAAAAAAGTGTTGGGAACTCATATCACTAAGTTGCTCTGTCGCTCTCACTTTTTCAAAAGTTCTAACGAATCTCTTTTACTTCTCAAACATCTCCACTTCTCTCTTTCACGTGACACTAATTATCCACCCATATATGATATACTTTACTTTCACAACTAAATACCATTGTTAATTTTTATTTTATCTGCGTATCTATTGTGTATACGTATCTTTTGATGTCTTCATTTTTTGTCAAAAATATTTTGATGTCTTCATCTATGATATATAATGTAATATGATATTTATATACGTGTGTAATTCAGAGTCGATCTGATCATTGCTTTGCCAATATATAAAATTTCGTAAATTATTCATTTTTTAGTGCACTAAAATTTACGAAATGATATTATATATATATATAAAATATTATAAGGGAAACAAGATGAATAAACATGTATATTAAAAAAAACAAAAAAGTAATATATATTTTAATTTATTTCTAATATACCAAATGATAGATGGTTTAGTGGGATAATTATCTTCCACTATATATTTCCAATTTTGTTTACTAACATAAGAAACCACATTTTTTCGCAATTGTTTTTAGTACTTAATTTTTCCGGTAAATTAGGAGAAAAACAAATATGAGAAAATGAAGGTTTTTTTTGTTTAAAGGAGAAAATTAAGTTAGTAAGGTGTTTTACACATTGGTCAGTTTAATATTCCATTATTTGGCGTTATATGTTTTATTTAACATTGCGCAGAGATCGACGGACGATCCTGGCTTCGTTCACACGGTGATAAGAAGTAATATAAGATCTAGAAGAAAGCATACTCTAGAAAACATGTAACTACACACCGGACCGAGACAATACAATAGCTTGGAGAGCGATCACGTAAAAAAAAAAAGAAAA